ATTCCTGTTTCTCCCAAATCCCCTTCTGTGCAAAAACTCCCTACACCACAACAGAACACCCCCTCACTTCAACAGAAAACCCCATCTGCACAGAGAACCCCCACTCCCCAAAAATCCTCAACCCCCAAATCCAAATCCCCTTCACCCTGCAAACAGATTACCCCAACAAAGCACAGATCTCCTTCTCCTCCCCCATCTCCTCAATGCCAGATTATTCAAACTCAACTTCAACAGATTACCCCTTCACCTCAACCATCTCAACAGAAATCCCCTTCACCTCAAAAGTCTGAGCACCAGTGTCACACCCCGGACCGCATCCGAGCCACGTAGACAACCGCCGTACAACCCGATAAGAACAACAATAGTTCATCCCTATTGAATTGTACAAGGCGTCCGATTGATTCTATTGCCAAACCGATTAGTAAACACATATAATCAACATCAATATCATAATCAAACAAATGCAGAAATAATAATATGTTTGATACTTAGCCACACGTGGCAAACACGGGCACGCAGGCCCCCAACTGTTTTAAGGAAAACATTGTTCAAAAATCCATGAGCGGTTTATAAATTTCAAATACGAATGGAAACACGAACCACGTCTTCCTCTTTGAATGATCACCCTAGGCAAAGGTGCAGGTAGTAGGACTCTAGCCTTAACCTGAAAAATGTGAGGGCCCCCGGAGGGGTCAGTACTCCATAGAAGTACTAGTGACAAGTAGGCTATATGAAGAATAACTAATGTTTCAGACACGAGACTCAAAAATAGGGTGATACATATATATAGCTGTCTCACATCCACCCGATGATACATACTGTATATATACTCGTAAAATACTCAACCCGTAGGTCATTTACCTTAAAGAGTCTTTTAGAGATAAAGTTCTTACCTGACTTTTCTCACTCCTTTCCCGGTTGCCTAGCTCACAAGCTATAGTCTACCTTCGATTCATACTACCGAGTGTTTTAGGATCATTTACCGTCCAAGGCACTCAACCCAACCTGGAGTATTTAGAATCATTTACCGTCCATGGGTACTCGGCCCCACCTGGAGTATTCTGGATCATTTACCGTCCAAGGGTACTCGACCCCACCTGGAGTGTTCTGGATCATTTACCGTCCAAGGGTACTCGACCCTACCTGGAGTATTCTGGATCATTTACCGTCCAAGGGTACTAGATCCCACCTAGAGTATTCTGGATCATTTACCGTCCAAGGGTACCCGACCCCACCTGGAGTATTCTGGATCATTTACCGTCCAAGGGTACTCAATCCCCAGTCTATCCTCTCGCAAATCCTAACTTGGATGTGGCTAACCTTTCATTCCTTTAACCATGGACAATGCCTAGCCCTATAGTCATATAACAATCCTTAGGAACCAACGTGGGCGGGTCCCACCTGAACGGCCCACGTTAACCTACTCAAAACTGCCCATTTTGAGCATAAACCAATACTCGATCGAGTATCTACCCATACTCGGTCGAGTACAGGAGACAGTAGCCCACAAAGCTAATTTTCAACGTATACTCGATCGAGTATCTACCCATACTCGATCAGGTATAGGAGGCAGTAGCCCCCCCGGGCAATTCTTCAGCAAATACCCGGTCGGGTACGTGTCAATACCCGGTCGGGTATGGCAGCTAAACGCCCGTTTGACCACCCAAACGGAGTCCAACTAACGTGAAATTTTATACACATGTACTTCTTGACGTCCTTGATCCAAAAATACCATTTTGGATCCCCGGAACATTACACATAATAAGTTATCACATTTTTAATCACCAAACCTACATAACATACTTTTCAACTATGTTTTATGAATAATCATGGCATAAGCAAACACTTGGTTATCTTTAATCATTCCATAAAACATATCCTTTATTACTTTAGGTAATCTAATGCCTCACGCAAAAGTTATAAAGCATAAAGCCTTCTTCTCACCTTAATGAAGCTTATGAAGTTCTAGCCTTCCCGATTTAGCTCCGACGAAACTCTGGCGAACTTCAACGAACTCCGGCGACAACTCCAGCGACCCTTTCAACTCCGTGAAAGTTCCTCGAATACCTTAGACAAGTTATTAACAAGGTTTTATCATCATAAAACCCATAGTAATACAAATAACCTCCAAAGGTTATTTTCCGGCGAACCCTTGATGGCTACTCCGGGTACTTTCAAGTGCCTATAGCCCCTGAAGATCAAGAGAAGACCACTTTTGGTGTTTGTGTTTTTAATATTTGATACATTTGTAATTTCCATATTTATGTTTGTGTTTTTAATTAGTTTTGCTTGATCTTTACTATGGAAATTACACACTCTTGGTGTAATAGATTAGTTTGTTAAATTCTTGTAAATAGTTTAGATTAGATATATTCTGAGCTCAAACAGGTCTTGATCACTCGAAGTACAGTTGGTGAACCAAAAGAGTGGAAAGAAGGTGCAAAAATTTGAAGACAAAAGAAGATCCTGAATTTTGGTCCATACTCGGTCGAGTATTAACTATACTCGATCGGGTATTAGGTTGGAACTTCAAATCGGATCAGATCCGAAGACAAGGGAACATGCCGGGAGGATTTCGGCCACGATTTAATGTCTATACCCGATCGGGTAGACCGACATACCCGATCGGGTATGCCTTTGAGTTTTAAACGAAGATCGGTCGAGTATGGTCCGAATACCATTTTCTAAGCATACTCGACCGGGTATTAATATATACCCGATCGGGTATACTTATGTGATAGAGTATATCTAGAGAGAAGTGAGAGCTAGAGAGAGAAGTGCAATAATATGCTTCAATAGAATGATTTTGTCACCCTGATAACTACCTCTAGAGGAAGTATTTATAGGGGAAATACGGGCTGGGCTCCCAAGCCTTGGGCTTGGGAGGCCCATTTACAACTGGACCGCTACTGGGCCGAATACAAAGCCACTAATGGGCTGTACAAATGAGTAAGTGTAAAATCCGGTTTTGTGAGGTCTTCGTGGCTGACGAGGGCGTGGCCGACGAGGGCACGGACGACGAGGGTGCGGCCGACGAGGGCACCCGGGTTCCTTGGATTCAGGACCATATTCTGAGTTGGTACCTTTCCGGCCGACGGGGGTCCCTTGGTCGACGAGGGCACCACTCAGTGTCTTTTGCTTTCTGTTCTTCTGAGTATGTGGGTCCTGGGGCTCAGACCCATATACTCCATCAGGAGTCCCCCACTCTCTAAGATGAGACGTAGACGAAGTGAAGGAGAGTAGATTCCCGTGTTTTGGTGCTTTTGGCCGATGCGGGTACTCCCAGGCCGTTAGCTGTTGCGGCGTTGGCGCTGTTTCCATTTTGGTGATCTTGTTCTGTGCTTTGGCCGTCACCTGCTCCTCGATGTGGACGGGGAGGCCGTTGTTTCCTTGGTGTGTTCGTTTGGGGACGATGAGTGTCCTGCTTCGATGGTGGCCGTTGAAGGCGCGTTTTCCCTTTCTTGGACGTTGATGGTTTGAGATTTTCATTTGGGCCGATGAGGCCGTTGAGGTTGAACCTTACTTCGAGGACAATGGGCGTCCTTTCCTTTGGGTGGCCGATGAGGGTGCTTGCACACTCCTTTTGGCCGTCGCTGATTGGCTTTCGTGTTCTTGGCCGAAGAGCCCATTATGATTAACTGTTGGCGGAGGACGATGAATGTCCTTGCCTTAGGTGGCCTGTTGGCCGTTGTTGATGGTGTTATGTGCCTTTGGCCGACGAGGCGTCGTGTTGTCCAAAGTACCTGGCCGGAGATGGAATCATGAATACCTTGGCGCCGTTGTGATACATGGACGATGTGGCCATGCTTTGTGGTTACATTTGTGTTCTTTGCATTTTTCCTTTGTCTGTATTGTTGAGGCCGATGTAGTCCCCCAGTCCCCCAATGCTTCAGGCCGAAGAGTGTGAGGGGTGAAGGAGTTGCTTGAGTCCCTGGTCGAAGCGGCCTCTCCGTAGTGCCCCTGAATCCAACCCTTATGGCGATTTTATGGCCAAGGTAACTGTAATACTTTAGAATTTTGTCATTGGACTTTAGTTTATGTTTCGGGACGAAACATCTTTTAAAGAGGGTAGAATGTGACACTCCAAAAATTTAAATAAAAATAAAAATATTTTTTATTAGTCAGATAAATCATAAAATGTTACGGAAATGACATTTTAATTATTAAATAAGTCAAACAAAAATTCAACAATCGTGAAATTCTAATTAGATAAAATTTCAAAATTTACGACGTTTTAGTCAGATAAAAATATTTTAATAATAGAAACAACATTTTATTAAATAAGTGAACCAGACAAAAAAAAAACATTTGTGACATTTTTAGTCTGATAAAAGTGGTCCGATAATAGAAGTCACGTTTTATAACGAATACTGGTTTTACATATGGCATAAGTAATAAAATTTACATTTTTACTATTTTAATTTACACGTAATTTGTGTATAAAATACACAAATTACAAATTTGACTTTTCCAATGTTGATATACTCCAAAAGTCCTAATACGAATATATATACTCCTAAAGTCCTAAAGCACACCATAACTATAACTATGTACGTAATAACATACTCTGTATATAAATATATAATACATACTAATCCTATTATATAACTACCTACGTAATAATATACGTAGTACAATACTCCGTACACTATATATATAGTATATAATATCACTACCTACGTAATAATCCTATGGAATAACTAAACCACGTATCCAGCCGTAGCTACGGCCAAGTACAGTCCGTATAAAACTCAAACACACACTTGCGATAAGCTTTAACACCGGCGAGTACGTCGAAGATAACTACCAACTGGGTGCGGATGAAGCTGTTTAACTTAAACTCCAACTCTAACACAGCCTAGAGCCTCGACCTGCACCTATAAATATCGTCCTTTACCTGCGTTTATACTCAGTCAAAAACACGACCAATATATATATATATATATATATATATATATATATATATATATATATATATATATATATATATATATATATATATATATATACACACACACACACACACACATACGTATATACGAAGTAGATATATACATGCAATTTTCAAACCCAGCGATATACTATAAATAAAGCTTCGAAACCACTCTAAAAACCTTCCCCTTCGTGAGACGAATCCAACGGAGAAAGAATCGTGGAAAAAGGACGTCGGAGTAGGGAGAAATAGCTCGCCGGAGTTTCGCCGGGGAAAACTTTCACGACGGAAAACGGAGAAGAAAGAGGAGCCGCCGCTGCCGCCAACCCACCACCAATCTTCGCCGTCCCAGAAGGAGCGCACCGCCGTTGTTCACCGCCAGTAGAGGTAAGCCCTCTGCCCCCCCAGTTGGCCGTTTTCCGGCGAAGCTACGCGAGGAAGATAACTCTTCCTGCTGCGTTTCAGAATTTGTGGGCTGGGCCGACTGGAAAGTTTTTCTTTTTTTGTGTTTTTTTAGTTTGGGCCAGTCCGGCCCATTTTCAATAAAAATTAAAAATAAAATCGTAAATGAAATAAATAAAATCTGGAAAAATATAAATTAAATACCTAGTATAAATATACGTATTCGGACCAACCAGAATTGAAAAGTAATATTTTTAGCTATTTTTAATGGATTTAATTGTATTTGGGCCAATTGATACACATGTAGTAAATAATTAACTAAATGACGAAAATAATTATGAAATAAATATTGGAGTAAACTAGGATAAATATATGACTAACTAGGATCTTATGGACCATTTATAATTAATAAAAATTAAGATTTAGTATATTTAATTGTAATTGAACCGGTTAATAGATATATGAAATTAAAAGAATAATTATGGAAAATAATTATAAAATAGATATCTGGACAACCTAGGTCAAATATAGACCCAAAATATAGTTATGGACGGTTATTAATTTATAAAGTCAATTCTTAGGTTATTTAGTTTAATTGAGCCATATAAAACTAGTTAAGTAATTAAATAAGGAAATATTAATATTAATGGTGAAATAAATAAATCAATGAGATTGAAAATAATATTCTGGACTAAAAAAAATAATGTTTGGAATAAAATAAGGAAAATAAAATAAGGTTGGGTTAGCTAGCATAAATAATTGACTATATGTAGACTTAATAAATAACTTAATTATGTAATTAGTGGACCAATTCAATTAATAATTTTTATGATTGATTATTAGAGATTCGGACTTCATATAAATATTTAAAATATTTGAACTCTTAAATTAATGGGTTAATATAAATAAAGCAATTAAATAATATTTTATGAGTAGAGTAAATAAATGGTGATTATTGAATAAAAATTTGGATGTTGTAGTCGGATATTTTATTTAATATTAGAATTCAAATATTGAAATTAATGACTGAATTAATAAGGTAATTTGATTAATAAAAAGTGATTAATCAAATAAATTCGAATAACTAATAAATTAAGTTAATAAATTCGAATAAGGAAATAAAAAGGGAAAATTGGGTAAAATAATTTATAAATAGAATAAGTGACTAATTATATCATCTTAATTAAAAAGGTGCTCATTTAGAGACCGGAACTGAAGAAGAGAATTAGGAGCATCGGGATTTAAGGTAAGTTTCACGTCAACCGAAATTAGTTCTTTTTCTTCGTGATTTCTTTTAAATATTTTTGTGTGCTTATTTGAGAATCGAATTTATGTGTGCTGAATTTGAATATTTGAGATATTAGTTTGTTGATATGAGTTATTTTGGAAGATTTTGTAATAGTACGTAATTTGTTATCTTTGTGGGAGTTTAATGAAAAATGAAAATTTTGAACTATAAACTTCGATTGATTTTGAGAAAACAAAGAGAAATAAATATTTTCATAAAGGGTGAGCATCACGAGAGAAATCCGTGGTGTTGGTTTTCCACGTCCCTTAAAATGTGGAGGATGGTTAGGTCTACTACTACTCAATTTTTGGTTTGTGTTGGTTTGAGGTGAATTGTCGGTCGGTAGAAAACATCCCGGCTTTTGAGTAGTAGTGGTAGTAGTAGCTCCTAATCATTCAGGTTTTTGAGGTGGGGTAGTTGGTAGAAAACATCCCGACTACCCGGATCGACTTACTAACCCGGAGGGCTTGGAATACCTTTAGGGGGTGTGCACACTTAAAGTAGTTGTTTCCGTTTCCAAGGAGCAGTTGTGGTACCGGCGATAGTTCCGGGGTGGCCGTATATAACAACGGACCACCGGGCTCAACCAAAGTGTTGAGCACCGCCCTTCTAAATTACTAGGAAGTTAGATACAAAGTGATGTTGGGAGAAATTCAAATGAGGAGAATTTTGGTGTTTCATGTATTTTGGAATTATTATGGTTTACGAGTTAATTATGTGATTGGGATTTTATATAAATATCGTTTACTTATGATTTATGGTTTATAAAGTGTTGAAAAATATTTTATGAGGTTGTACGAATTTATATATATTAATTATTATTATTTTAAAAGGTTAGGTGGAACTTACTTAGCATTATTGCTAATGGTTGTTTTCTTTTATTTTTCTTGTGCTCGTATTTAACAGGAGGTGATCATGATGATTTTGATGCTGCAATATTTGAGAGCGCGAATTAGAAGACAATTATGTAGTTCACTAGAAATAAACTTTAATATTTTCTTATGACTCGAACATCTTGATTTTGTTAAACTCGTGTTTTGGTAGATAGCCTTAGCATCCAATCATTCACGGATTGGATGTGGCGGTGACATGCCCCTTTCACTTAGTTTTATTAATTTCCGCTGCAACTTTTGAAGTTTTATCATTAAATAAAAGTTCATCTCTATTTCAAAGTATTATTTTGGGTGGAAAAATTTGGGGGTGTCACAGTAACCCTGTGGGAGAACCCTTGTGCGCAGATCGCTTGTAAAGAGTTATCATCAGGGGTCGTTACGAGGGCCGATGGCTGCGGGTTCTTTGTTCCGTTGGTTTTGTGGTCGTTACGGGCGTTCATGACGTTCCTAGCCGTTGTCATCTCCTTATCGCCGTGGAGGCATTGGGTGACTTGGCCATTGCAGGCGCTTTGCTGGCATTGTGAAGCCGGCAAGCGTATAGGCCGTTGTGGGCGTTCGTTGTCCGTGTGATCCGTAGGGTTTTACTCCGCCGGTAGGTTAGTTCACGAGCCCGGCCCATTTCCGAAGGGGTGGCACCTCATTGGCTGCTGGGAAGGTGACCGCTGAGGTGGCCACTGATATGGTGCCACGTGTAGTGACCGTTGGGGAGGAGGTCTATAAATACCCCTTTCCCTTCCGACGCGGTAACCTCATTTGCAATCTGTGCCCACGAAGTGCTGCTGAAATTTCTAGAGAGAGAGTCTCTGAGGTGTTTGTTCAAGTGTTCTTCCGTTTCTTCAAATATTCAAAGGTCAGTTCTTCACCTGTTCCTTTCATATTTCGTATACTTTGCTTCATGGGCCTTTGATCTAGTGTTAATAGGGGATTTGCACTTAGATCCAAAGTAGAGACCTTTAGGGCGTTAATAGTTGTAAGATGAAGAGTTTGGACGAGGAGTACTACCCCTACGACGACCAGCCCTCCACTAGGTCCCTTGACTACGAGGTGCTTGAGGAGTTTGAGGAGGAAATAGAGCATCTGAGCCCCTATAAGTCCGGAGAGCCGGAGGACGACGAGGGTAAGGACGAGGAGTCTGCCTCGTCTTCGGAAGGCGAGGACGCAGGTGCGTCCCGAATGGTGGACGGGGCGTCCACTTCCACTGCTATTCCGTGCCCGAAGCCAGTGTCCGCCGTGAAGGGAGCAGAGAGGCCGAAGAGGATAAGGAGGCCGAGGAGTGGGCCAGGGTACTCCCACCTGGATCTCACGAATATCTACCTTATCAAGCCGGAGAGCAACGTGGCCGATTACCTAGTCGCGCAGATGTATGTGGGGCCGTTCGGGAGAGTTAGGGCACCCAGGCCGACGGACCATGTACTTAATCCGCCGCCGGGATACTTCGGAGTGTACCCGATGAGCTTCGCCAAGGGGCTGAGATTTCCCCTTCATCCCTTCATCACGGAATACTTGGACATGGTGGGACTTCCTCCGGCCTTGCTGACCCCGAACAGCTACTCGTTGATGGTGGGATTCTTGCTCCGCTGTGAAGAGTTGGGCTACAAGCCGACGACAGCTCTCTTCATGAACCTCTACCAGATTGGCCGAGGAAGCCACAAGAACTGTGTGGCCTACGCTACCCTCCAACAATTGCCGAAGAAGAGGAGCTTCACGCACTTGCCTTCGTCCATCCATGGTTGGAAGAGTAAGTTTGTTTTCCTGTCCCTTGGTGAGAACGGCACTGAATTTCCCTCTCTCGGCCATACTGGGAGGTTCAATCTGCACGACCCGCCGAAGAGTTCGATCTTGGACGCTCAGGTGGAGGCGTTCTTGGACGGGGAGCCGAGGAGCGTGAAAGATTACATTACCGAATATAAGATGACCGCCCTCGGCTTCTTCAGATATTATGTGTATGGTGACAAGGAGGACGATGCCCAACTGTGGCCGATGATGACCACTACCTTTGAGGAGGCCGACGGCCCGGATTTGGGCATTCCTGCTGAAGCCGATGGTAATAGTTCCTCTGGCTTTCTTCCTTTGTTTTTGTTCCTTTACTTTGCTAACCTGTTTATTTTCCTTTGTGTAGACTTTGTGATGGATCGTCGTTCGATAATGGCCATAGCCAAGGCCAAGGCGGCCGAGGAGCTGGCTGCGAAGGCGGCCGAGGCGGCGAGGCGTGCCGCGGCCGAGGGAGGCGAGGCTGCTGCTGGTGTGGTCCCGAAGCCTGCCCAATCAAAGAAGAAATGGCCTCCCACTGATGGCCAGAAGAAGCTGACCGAGGCTGGTCTGAATCTCGCCAAGAAGACGAAGAGGGTGCCGTCTCCTTCCCTTGCCGATGAGGTCGGCGTTCTGACCGTCCCAAACATGGACGATGGTGGTTCTGGCAATGCTGTCGCCGTTGTGGATCTTACCGCTGCTCCTTCCAGTGCCGTTGCTCAACCGCTCCCTCTCGGCCAGGAGACTCGGACGAAATGGGCTGGCAAGGAGATTGCCACTGCCACTTACCAGAAAGTGGTGGAGTACCCCGTTGGCGGGGGTGTCTTTGATGATGGCGTTGACGGCCATGATGTGCTTGCCTAGGCCATGCCGGCCAAGGATCGGGGCTACCTCAACAAGCTCAGGGATGTCAAGATCCATGAAGGCGGGATGGACCTCATCGTCCAAGTAAGTTCCTTTCCCTTTGCTTTGTTGTTTTCCTTGTCGTCTGTGTGAAGTCATTGCCTGAGTTTTGGTTTGCCTTTGTTTTGCAGGGTGCCTTTATGCTCATGGAGAGCAACAAAAGGCAACAACAGGAGATTGCTCGCCTGAAGGAGCTCGAGCGAAAGGCTGCCTCGGCCGATGAGGCGATGGCCTGCTTGGATCGGCTTCGAGAGGATGCCAAAGCTCTGCAGAAGAGAGCCGATGAGGCTGCTGCAGCCAAGGACGATGCCCTGGCCAAGCTTGCGGAGAGCCAGAGGGCACTTGAGGTGGAGCGGCACAGGACTGATGAGGCCGTGAAGGCTAAGATTGAGGCCGAGGCTGCCGCTGTGAAGGCCGCTGATGAGGCCGTCCAACAATTCCTGGCCGAGGGCTGGAAGGCCGACGAGCGGCTCCCCTGGTGCTATGAAGTTGTGGCCGCCAAGCTCGAGGATTGGGGAATGAACTCCCCCGCCGGCCAGGAGTACTTTCAAAGGGAGATGTCCATGTACTACAACATGGGCCAATAACGGATGCAGAGGCTCCTGTGCCGGCGGCTGGCGCGTGCCCTTAAAGCGATGAACTACACCTCTGGGTGGGAGAGGCGGAACCTGAGGCTTCCCAGGCTGATGAAGGATCCCGAGGAGCAGGCCAAGCTCCCTCTTTCGGAAAGGGAGGCCCGATCGATAGTTCCGGCCTCGGCGAGCCGGACTACGATGAGTTTGATTTCTTGGACGACGCTACGAGCTCTGCAGTCGCTGTCGGCCAGGACACTGAGGCCGAGGAGGAAACCGAGGATGCCGATGAGCAGATCCATGCTGAGCATGTTGCAGATGAGGGCGCCCAGGAGGCGTGATCGGCCATCCCCTTATCTTTTATTTGTAATTAGTAGCATCCCAATTTTGCCCAACTGAATGTAATGGCCGTAGCACCCCCTTTTGTAATTAACATTTCGATGAATGAATGCTCTGCCGGCCTCTTCGGCTGTTGATGTCTATGCTTGTTTCCTTTGCCTTTTCTATTTTGAAATTTGTCTAAGTGTTAAGTTAACAACTTAGGTCACCCGCGAGTGTTTGTTGCGTCCGTAAGGTAGTCAATTTAGTCCGGTGGCCTTATCGGCCTGTCCGCCGTTTCTTCGCTGTCGCAACACTTGGGATTTCTTCAAAAAAATTCTAAGTGTTTGAGATCCACTTAGGTGCTTCCTTTCCGTCATGACCGAAGCGGGCATGATGGGGTGTCCGCTGCGTCTTGGCATTGTCTCATTCCTTTTGTTGTTTGGTCTTAGAATTTTTCTAAGTGTCCAACTTCAAGTAGGTGGGTGTTCTCATCGTCCTGGTGTTGAGCCTCTCCTCATTGTTGACAAATGCTTTGGGAAATTCCCTAAGTGTTCCCTTGTTCCTGATCTGATCAGGGAGGTCGGCCTGGATCCTAGTGTTGTGGCCGATAAGGGTGCACGGGTTGTTGTCCCCTTCGGCCTTGTGTGTCTTCGTTTCTTGCCTTGGGTCATTTGAACTTAGGTCTTTGGACATAGAAATTTTCCTAAGTACAAATGCAAGACATAGGTAGCTAACGACCTGTGAGTATTCAGGTGCCCGCTTCGTCTAGAGGTTCTCCCTTTAAATACTTAGAGATTTTTCTAAGTATAAATGCAAGACATAGTTCCTTCTGTGTGGTACCATTGCCATCCAAGAGACGGCCCTACCTTCATCGGCCAAGGTCTGGCTTTGTGGCCGATGAGGGTGCCTTTTGCTTTCCTCAAGAGTTTCTCTAAGTGTCGGAATTCTCTTAAGGAACCTTTTTCCTCAAGAATTTTCTCTAAGTGTCTGGTAAACACTTGGACAAATATTCCCAAAGATCTTCCGCTTGGCCAACCGCCTGGGTTTTAGTGAATGTAACGGCCATCCGGAATGTTGTGGCCGGTAGGGATTGTTGCTTGAATGCTTAACTCTTCCGCGGGTGTAATACTGCCCGCTTCGTCCTGGGCAAATTTTCCGGTGGTAGCCGATGAAGGTTACCACTCACGTGTCACCCAACCACTCTGGTTAGGGTTTTATAGGCGTATGCTTCGTCCTTAACAATTCCCTTGTCTGTGATGGACGTGTGGCCATATCGTCCATGTCACCTGTTAGTGGTACTACACTTGTGTTCAACAGATATGTACTTAGCCAAGTTTGGCATGAGTTGTGGGGAATTTATTTTTTCATTGCTCGAGGCCGGCAAGTGCCCGCGGTCCTCGGCTTCCCTCTTTTTTTTGTTTCCGTTCCCTATTTCGGGGAGTATCCTTCTTTCAGGCTTCGGCCGAAGGGTGTGCTCGTCCTTCGGCCGGTTCGGACTTCGTTTATAACGTCCGTGATCTCAGGGGGGGGGGGGTCCCGTCGCCTATTTATGACGCGGGCTAGACTTTTGGTTGGTTTCCAATGGCTGTCGTTGCCCAACCCTGAGTGGGGGGATTCTGCCACCTCGGCCATGATTTCAGGCTTGTCGTCCTGCGATCTGGCGCGTGGACGACGCGGTGAACTTCCCATTTCAAGACGCGGGCCGTTTGCGGGCCCATCGTCCTGGGGACATCGTCGGCCATACCTGAGCGTTTCACTCTAGGCTTACGGGGCCAGGACGATGTGCTCTCTCAGCTAGGCCTGAGCCCTTCGCTGATACAAAATACAATGGAGTATGCCTGAGCTTGTCGCTCGTAGGCTGCAAATGCAAGGTGCCACGTCGGCCATACCTGAGTCTTTCGCTCTAAGGTGGCTGATGAGGGCACCTGCTAATATTTTACTTTAAATTCCAAAGAAAAAATCAAGAGGAACATGATTTTATTCATAAGTGGCTCGAGGCCGAGGGTGGCATTCAATCAGTAACCCGTTAAGGGGTGAGGGCTTCGTCGTCTGCACCTCCTTCGGATTACTGATAAAACTTCACCAGATGGTGTACATTCCACGTTCGTGGTACATTGGACCCATTCGGGCGTTTAAGCTTGTAGGTGCCGGGTTTGACCACGGCACTGACGATGTAGGGCCCTTCGTACTTCAATGCTAGCTTGCCACCCTCCGTCGGCTGGCTTGCTTCCCTTCGGCGGAGGACGTAGTCCCCTACCTGGAATTCTCGGGAACGTACCTTGGCGTCATAGTATGATTTTACTTGACGCCGGTAGTTCTCTGCTCGGATGAACGCTTGCTCGCGTCTTTCTTCGACCAGGTGGAGGTCGATCTTCATGTTCTCCTCATTAGCCTCTGGGTCATACTGCTCCACTCGTCGGCTGGGAATGGTGACCTCTGTGGGTGCCTTAGCTTCAAAGCCATAGCACAGGGCAAAGGGCGTTTCACCTGTCGCCCTCCTCGGCGTGGTCCGATAGCACCACAGGATGTTGGGGAGCTCGTCGACCCAACTACCTCTTGCGTCCTGGAGCTTCTTCTTCAGCCCTTCCATGATGGTTCTATTGGCGTTCTCAACCTGCCCGTTGCCTTGAGGGTAGGCAACTGAGGAGAAACGGTGTTTTATCCCCCATTCTCGAAGGAGCTCCTGGAAGGGCGCCGCTTCAAACTGGGTGCCGTTGTCGGATATGATTTCTTGGGGGACACCAAAGCGGGTGAAAATGTTCTTGTGAACGAACTTCTGACACCTGGCCCCCGTGATGCTGGCCAAGGGTTCCGCTTCGACCCACTTAGTGAAATAGTCGACTGCGACGATGATGTAGCGGTTGTTGCCGGCAGCTCTGGGCAGAGGGCCGACCAGGTCAATCCCCCACCTTGAGAACGGAATAGCAGTGCTGACGGGGGCGTAGTTGACGGCTGGCCGACCAGGGGCCTTCTGGAGTACCTGGCACGTGGTACACTTCCTGGCCAGGCCCGCACAGTATCGCGCCATCGTCGGCCAGAAGACGCCCTGGACGACGAGACGCCGGGACATGCTGAAAGGGCCCTGGTGCGAGGAGCAAACGCCACAATGAACTTCTTCCATGGCCACGTCGGCCTCATCCTGGTGCAGGCATCGGAGGAGAGTGCCATTATAGGATCGTTTGTAGAGTTTGCCATCTTCAATGGTGTAGCTTGGGGCCCTGAGTTTGGCGAGTTTGGCCCTCTCCTCGTCCGGGGGCAGCTCCCCCGTCGTGATGAAGGTGATGATGTCGGAGATCCAGTCCTCCGGTCGCTGTTGGACGCACAAGACGGGGCTGGCATGGATGCTGGACATGCTCAACTCCTCGATCCTGGCTAGCTGGGAGATGTACTCCGGGGTGTCCGAGCTGAGTTTGGAGAGGATGTCGGCCTCGGCGTTCTCAGCCCTTGGGATCTGTGTGATCTCGTGGGTTTCGAACGCCTTCAGCAGCTCCTCCGCTGCTTGTTTGTACTGCTTCATTCGGCCTTCCTTTGCTTCGTACGTACCCTCAACCTGGCCCACTACTAGCTTGGAGTCGCACCTGATTTTGATGTGTCGGGCTCTGAGGCCGGTGGCGAGTCTGAGACCGCTGAGGAGGGCCTCATACTCGGCTTCATTGTTGGATACCCTGAAGTTGAAGCGGATGGCATAGTAAGCTCTGAATCCTTCAGGGGATATGAGGACGACGACGCCACCGCATGATTTCGCGGCCGACGAGCCGTCGGTGAAGAGGATCCATGTGCCATCGGGCTCTGGCCCGGGGGCGGTAGCGGCTGTCTCCCTTGCCGTGCATTCGGTGACGAAGTCGGCCAAAGCTTGCCCCTTGATGGATGGCCTTGGCTTGATTTCAATCTGAAATTGACTGAGGAAGATTGCCCATTTCACCATTCTTGAGGAGCTAGTGGGGCTCCTCATGAGCGCGCCAAGGGACTGCTGGGTCAGCACGTGGACGGCATGGGCCTGGAAGTAGGGCCCCAGCTTCTTCACCGTATGTACGATGGCCAGCACCGTCTTCTCAATGGGGGAGTACCTGAGCTCGGCCTCCCTGAGTGTCTTGCTGATGTAGAAAATGGCCTTCTGCACCCCTTCGTCCTCACGAATGAGCACGGAGCTGATGGTCGACGTGCTCACCCCTAAGTACAAGAAGAGGGTTTCGCCGGCTTTGGGCTTGGAGAGCACGGGCGGGGACGATAGGTACCTCTTCAGCTCTTCGAATGCTTCCTGGCACTCCGTCGTCCACTTGAAGCTGTTGGCTTTACGCATGATCTGAAAGAAGGGGAGTGCCCTTTCGGCTGACCTGGAGAGGAAACGGTTCAGGGCCGCCGGGTGCCCCGTCAGGCGCTGTACTTCCTTGACGTTGCGGGGCGGCTCCATGTTGATGATAGCCTGTGTCTTCTCCGGGTTTATCTCGATGCCTCTCCGCCTGACCATGTAGCCGAGGAACTTGCCGCCTTGGACGCCGAAGGCGCACTTCTTGGGGTTGAGGCGGAGCCTGAACTCCTTCATGATTTCAAAGATTTCCCGGAGGTCGTTGGCATGGGTGGAGGCCTGCCTGCTCTTGACGATCATGTCGTCGACGTATGCCTCCATCGTCCGGCCGAGGACTGCTCTGAAGATCTTGGC